GTGGGACTCAGTACCTTGGTCTGGTGGTCTGGTGGTCTGGTGTCTTCTGTGCCTTTGTAGTATGGAATCAGGTGGCTGCCTGTCTGCAGTGGGGTGATTCAGTGTCTTCTGCGTGACTCAGGACCTCGGTAGAGTGTGCACAGACCTGCCTGTCTGCAGCGGACTGATTCGGTGTATTCTAGGCAACTGGGGACCTCGGTAGGGCGTGGGCAAACCTGCCTTTCTGCAGGAGGCTGGTTCGGCTGGCATGTTCTGTGGGACTGGGGACCTCGGTAGGGTGTGGGCAGATCTGCCTGTCTGCATCGAGGTGATTCGGCGTCTTCCACGTGACTCAGGACCTCGGTAGGGCGTGCACAGACCTGCCTGTCTGTAGCGGGCTGATTTGGCGTGTTCTGCAGGACTGGGGACCTCGGCAGGGTGTGGGCAGACCTGCCTGTCTGCAGCAGGGTGATTCGGCGTGTTCCCTGGGACTGGGGACCTCGGCAGGGTGTGGGCAGACCTGCCTGTCTGCAGCGGGGTGATTTGGCCTCCAGTTTGTCATTCTTTATGGCAGAGTAGTACTCCATTTTATTAAAAACAAAACCCCACATCTTAATTATCCAGTCTCCAGTTGATGGGCACTTTGGCTGTTTCCAAGCTTTAGCTATTATAGACTGTGCTGCTATAAACATGGGTGTGCATATATCGCTGTGGTATGATTCTTTTAATTCTTTGGGGAAGATACCCAACAGAGGAATAGATGGGTCAAATTGGACCTCTAACACTAGTTTTTTTAGGTATCTCCATATTGATTTCCACAGTGGTTGCACCAGTCTGCACTCTCACCAACAATAGAGAAGGGTTCCTTTCTCCCTACAACCCCACCAACGTTTGTCGTTGGTTGATTTCATGATAGCAGCCATTCTTTTTGGTGTAAGGTGAAATCTCAGTGTTGTTTTCATCTGCATCACTTGAATGAACAATGATGTTGAATATTTTTTCATGTGTTTATTTTCTGCTTTTACTTCTTTGTCTGAAAAATTTCTATACATTTCAGATGCCCATTTTTGAATTGGGTTTTTTAATTTGGGTGGTCTGATTTTTTAAAGTTCTTTATTATAGATAGTAGACATTTGTCTGAGGTACAGCTGGTACAAAATTTTTCCCACGTTGTAGGTTGTCTCTTAGTTCTGTTGGTAGTTTCAGTGCAGAAGCTTTTTAGTAAGATGAGATACCAGTTGTTGATTGTTTCCTGTGCTAGTTCCCATGCTATTAAGGTTTTGTTCATAAAGTCTTTTCCTATGCCAATGTCTTCAAGAGTTCTACCTAACTTATCTTCCAGTAAGATTAGTGTTTCTGTTTTAATATTTAGATCTTTAATTCACTTCAATCTTAGTTTAGTGCATGGTGATAGATATGGGTCTAGTTTTAATCTTTGGCAGGTTGAAATCCAGTTTTTCCAACACCATTTATTAAAGAGGTTATCTTTCCTCCAGTGAGGATGGTTGACTGCTTTGTCAAAGAGGAGGTAGCTGAGTATGTCTGGAGTTGTTTCTGCATCTTCTAATCTATTCCACTGATCCTTGTGTCTGTTTCTTTGCCAATACCATGCTGGTTTTATTACAGTAGCTTTGTAGTATAGTTTCAAGTTGGGGATTGTGATGCCCTCTGTCATGTCTCTGTTGCCTAGAACTGCTTTTGCTATTCTAGGTCTCTTCTGGTTCCAAATGAATTTTTGGATTGTTTTCTCTAGTTCTGTGAAATATATTGTTGGGATTTCAATTGCCATTGCATTAAATCTATATAGCAGTTTTGAAAGTTTGGCTGTTTTCAGTATATTGGTTCTTCCTATCCAGGAGCAAAGAATGTCTTTCCATTTCCTTATATACTCTTTGATCTCTTTTTTCAGAGTGCTGTAGTTTTCATTGTAGAGGTCTTTTGCTTCCTTTTTTAGACTGATTCCTAGATATTTCATTTTTTTGGATGATATTGTGAAAGGAATTGTTTCCCTAATTTCTCTCTCAGTGAATCTGTTATTTGCGTACAAGAAGGATATTGATTTTTTTTGCTTAAATTCTTTTATTGCCACATTTTAGGTGCACAGTATTTTTACATTTATCATTGAGTGCTTGTACCTGTACAATTTTTGAGTGTTGACCTTGTATCCAGCTACTCAATTGAATCTGTCAGTTAAGTCTAGAAGTCTTTTGGTGGAATTTATTGGGTCTTCTGTGTAGAGTATCATATCTTCAGCAAACATTGACAGTTTAACTTCTTCCTTTCCTATCTTTATTCCTTTTATTTCTTTTTCTTCTTTAATTGCTGTGGCTAATGTTTCCAGAACTATATTTTACAGGAGTGGTGATAGTGTACATCCTTGTCTTGTTCCTGATTTTAGTGTGAAAATTTTCAGTTTTTGACCATTTAGTATGACATTGGCTATTAGTTTTTCATAAATAGCCTTAATCAGGTTGAGATAAAGACCTTCTATTCCAATTTTTTGTAGGGTTTTTATCATGAATGGGTGTTGGATTTTGTCAAATGCAAAAAATGAGAGTTCTGACTGCTGCACATCTTAGCCACAATTGAAATTTTCTTTCTTCTTTTTAGTCATTCTGATGAGTGTGGCAAGGCATTACTTTGTGGCTTTAATTTGTATTTCCTTGATGACTACATTTCCGTATATTTATTGACCATTTGGATGTGCCCTTTGTGAAGTGTTTATGTATTTTGGTAATTTTTCTATTGGGTTATCTGTGTTTTTCTTGTTGATTTGCTGGAGTATTTTACAATAGTTGGTATTCTGAATATGAATCTTTTCTTGTATATTCTGACTATCATCTTCCACTTGTGGGTTTCCTTTTTACTCTATTAATAGTGTCTATCAATACATATATAATATAACTTTTTCTCTGAAAAACCTTTGGACTTTATCTATAGTCAGCATCTAATGGACAGAACATCACTTATGTAAAGTGACCCATTATTATTGAGCAGTTGGCAAAAAACTGACAAAATGGGCTGAAAAATTTAAACCTACCAGCTTTGGTAGATTAATAAAAATTATCTAGCTCCCAATTTTTTTTGTTTTTGTTTTTTTTTGAGTCAGGGTCTTGCTATGTAATCCAGCCTGGCCTTAAATTCACCATGTAGCCCAAACTGGGCTCAAACTTGCAGTCCTCCTGCATTGGGCTCCCAGTATTGGGATTATAGGAGTGCACCACCATGTCTGGCTTCATTTTAAAATACTTACTTGACTTTACTATTAACTATCAAAAATGCATAATGAATTTCAGAAATTAGCTAAATTAGATGAGAAATTAAAATACTCTGGGTACCAGCTAAAGCTAATGTTTAAATATTCAAGGATTTCAAAAGATCCTAGCTCTTATTCCTAGTAGCTGTCTTGCATGAGAGCATGAAATGTGGTTGCATTCGCTGAATATATTTTCAATCTAAAATATTGTATATGTTCAGGGTATAACCATATATCATTTTGAAGAAAATATTTCAAGAGTCCTCCTCCATGAGAAAGTAAATTGACAATATAGTGGCCCTTAGAAACTAATATTGATTTCTTTTCTTCAATAATCTATTAAACTATTTCTCAAGTTTAAAAATTTGACCATAATAATTATACAAACTAATGTAGTACAGTGTTTTGATACATCTGTATATTGTATGGTGATCAAATCAGGAATCTAACTTCTCTACTGAATTTGTTTCTCCTAAGAGTTTAGCAACTTGATAAGGTTGGAAGACTAAGGTCTTTATTTATAGAATATAGACTAAGTGATGGATAATTTTTTCTATTTCAAGAAATGATTTTTCCTGCAGGCTGGATGTTTTGCTTGGAGGCATAAGGAATTCCATTTTAGAATTACACATGACTGACCTCCCAACTGACCACTACAGTGACAGTCTCGCTGTATTTTCACATATGACAGTTATAGTCAAATTTTGTCCTATGAAACATAGAGCTTTCCAGTTACAACTGAACTGACACCAAAAATTCATTTTCAGTTCATTTCCACAAAGAACATCATAGAATTACCTACCTTTGGATATTTGTCCTGAGTTCAATTTAAAACAGAGACCTGAAGTTCAAAGTTAATATTTTCAAGCTTTTCAGGTCCATATCTCTGAGCCACTAGGTTCCATATAATGAAATTATATTGACTCATTGGTAACCTGGATGGATCTTTCAAATTTTCATATTTATTCCTTTCTTTTTCCTACTTCACTGAAATTGAATTCCATTTTACCTGGACATTTTCTGAGCAGGAGCAAACACCAAAATTAGTGATAGGCTCTCCACTGGTGTTCCAGCTGTTCAGACTATTTTCCTTTAAACACCGTCTGCAAATAAAAATGGTATCAAAATCAAATGTTTCATACATGTGAACCCATGCACACATATGTGTTCTCATGTTTACACAGAAGTATTTAAGCAAGTACTTGGTATAAATTTTAGGTGTGTAGTCCTAGGTACAATTTACTGACTTTTTATAACTTGAATACACATTATACTACTATTTTCAAGAGATTTGACATTTTGCATTGGAGGATTGAAGAAGATCATTTATTGACTAGTGCTAACATTAAAGCTCACCGAATTGTCTTATAGTGATAGAACGAAGCTTTTTGTTCCCTTTATTCTCTTTGCTCTTTTCATCCTCTCTTCTGACAGAAAGCATAATAATACACCAAGATCAGGTTAAAAATGTTAGGTAATATCTTGAAAATTTGAACAAGCTTAGCATGAAGATAGGGGAACTGGAGTCAGAAAATAACTTTAGACAACTATCTTAGCCCCTAGGAACCCTAGTTACTTCATGTGTAAAATGGGATTAAAATTTTCTAGGTTTAATTGTTAAATATAAGTATGTATACAAAACAGCTGTGCAAACTATGAGGCATCTGATGTTTATTGTTACAGTATAACATAGCTAGGGAGGAAATGGAAGGAAATAGATAAGGTCTGTTAAACAGATTTCTATCAGGGTACTGATCTTTAGAGCCAAGTAATGTATACACGCCTGCACATCCACACACACATGCACAAACTGGAATGCTGAAAATGAAAGGAAAAGAGCAAGGACCACTTACGAATCACTGCTGTTCAGACAAATGTTGTCAATGCCAGGGAAGTCCCACATTGCTGAGACCAGAGGTTTTGTACTTGGGTCATAATTCCTGAAAAAGTAAAGGACACACTCAAATCCATTACCTTCACTAATCTCCTGTGATATTCACAAATGCTCACAAATAATTTGAAGAGATTAAATTTTGCTGTCTACAGGACTTTTCTTAAAAATTTAAGACTCAATTTCCAAGGAAAAAAGTATCACCAGGAAAAATGAGCACATGCTTTGTCATTGTATTTGTCACAATGTATTTGCTCTCCTTTATACATATCATGGTATATTATGGAGAATTCTGACATTGGTATTCAATATTCATCAGAGCAATAATACATTATTTGCTATATAATGCAAAAGATTCAGAAGTTACACAAAACCTGGCCTTCTTCATTAAAGTCTAGTCATTAAAATAAGTATCTACTATAACCTTATTATTAAATAAATGTAAAAATTCTTAAAAAGCCATTTTGGACCATAGAGATAACATATTGCAATAAATTAAACTGTTCCTTTAATAGGATCGATACTGTGGCTTCTGTGTTCTTTATTCTTTGGCATTCCAAGGGATTCAGATGGGTGCAACCACAATTCTGGAAGCATTTGGGGATCATTCTTTTGGTTAATAGAAGGAAACTCACGCATAGAAGGCTGTCTGTTCAGAGGCACCATAAAGAGAGGGGGAGATCTCGATCTCTGGGTAACTGTTGTTGGAAGCACGCAGTGTGCCAAGGCCCATGGCAGTGATCACAAAGACAATGGGAAGGACCACCTGTGCAATGAGTCCTTTCCAGTTCCTGCGGGTGTGGTGGAACCGCTTGATAAGAATGGCCACTATCTTCTTCAGCAACAGTCCAAAACCATCCAGCCGCTCTCCACTGGTCAGGACTTTGTCTGATTAAGAAAAAGATTTGATATGGTTCTAGGAAATCCTTTATTTTCCACCCCTCTTCTAGAAGTAGAACCCAGGGCGTCACACATGCTAGGTAAGTGTTCTACCTCTGAGCTACACTTCCAGCCTGGTTCTAGGAGAGTACAATAAATCTTGTAATAAAATTACTTCAGAAACTAATGATGGTATGGAAAGCTTATATTTTAAGTATTTGGATGGGGTGTTTAGCAATTCATTTGTCAGCCATGGTCTGAGCCTCAAATTGAGGACCATAATATCATCTCATACAGAGCTAGAAAAGGTGCTTTAAAAAATTATAATTTGCTAGATATAAAATATTATCAAACCTATATATAGTAATTTTACAGGTAAAAGTTAGATACTGAGAATTTTATAAATGAACACTACCTCCAGACTCCAAGTCTCAATGTAAACTCTCGGTATGTATTACTAATTATGAATAATCAGGAAATAGTTTCTATGATGAGTCTGAATTTAAATAAGATAAATAGAAAATGAAACACCAATGTAGTCGAAGAACTCATTCGTATTATAAGTAACTTAGTGACTGTAAGTCTAATTGTTTCTAAATCTGACATGACATCCAATAAATTCACCCATATGTAGGAAAAGGGAATCCTTTCTTCCAAAGTACAATTGGAATGAACCACTTATTCATTCCATTCTCTCTAGAAACTTAGAATGATTATGGCCTTCTAACATTCCACTTTTACAAGCAGAGTCTCAAAAAGGACTCCCTGAAAAACTACTTATGTCTCTGCCCTCCTTGAAATGATTTTCAGGTAATGAAAAAATTCCATCCTTCTGAAAGTCAGGGCAGCTGTGGAGGCCATCACAGCTCTTGTGGTTAATAATTGCAATACCTCCCTCTAAAATTAGGTTCAAATATGGCATTCTCTCCAAAGACCTGCCACCAAGCATGCCTTCACACATGATAAGATGATGGTATTCATCAAGTCTGTGTATATTTTTAATTTTCCATCACAAACCATACAGCACAAAAATCATGATCTTCATTTAGCTGATAAGGAAAAATACAAAGCTGCTTAATTTAAAATGAATTCCAATTAAACAGAGTGAACAGGTTTAAATGCAAACTCATATCTCTGCAAAAGGGAATTGTGGAAGGAGCTGAATATGTTGGAGTTAATTAGTATGCTTTTCTGTTTCTTGAAAAATTGCATGTGGATGACTTACAGGTGTATCAAATGGAGTAAATGTGCTTTCTCAAAGATAATGTCAATGAGGGGAACATTTTGACTGATGAATAGTTTCAAATTATGAGACAAATGCAGAGGCAAATACATAGGATTTACTTCCTGAAGCAGATGACCACTTTCTAATCAAAGTCCTCAATTCTGTGAACTGTACAATTATATTCCTCAGAAGATGATAAATGAGGAATGTGACAGAGGACAAATGAGCCTCAAGTTCCAGAATTATACAAACATCAGAGATTATCTTTTTTGAGCTTTAGAGACAGGCAAATGATTAATTAAAAGTTCTATTCCTAGAGATTTTTTCCAATTCAATCAAACTGTTGAAATGACTATTACATAATTTATATATCATTTTACTACATGTTCCTTAAGTAAATAATATTTTTAGAGGTATAAATTAACTGTCAGAAAGAGACAGTGACCAAAAAGTTACTTTAAAAAGACCTAAACCTCTCAAAGTTGTGTCAAGAAACAGGGTTTGAGAACATGCTCTGTGTCAAGAACTGAGTGGAAAACCTATTGTTACAGATACTTAGCCATTAAGTCCAACTTAATCAATTCAGAGCCCTTCCCCCAAAAGGATTTCCTCATCCCCTGAGTGGTGCAGAGAAGGGGGAGGCTAAACATGTTTTCCAATAGGTACTGAGAAAGCTGATGATTACTTTTCTTTTCTTCTTTTCTCTTTCTTTGTTTTGATGGTTATTGTCTCATACAGGCAACTTTGTTTGTTGTTGGACAGCACAAGCTATAAGAAGAATCTTAACTTGTTCAGCATAAATCTGAAACTGTTGTAAGTTACATTTTGAAAATCATTTCTGGTGAGTAGAAGGGATACTTATCATTACCCTGTCAAGGGTATCCTTTCACACTCTTCAAAGTACTTTTGAAATAGAGAATTCAATTTTTTAATTAATATTTTGCATTTTAAAAGGACACTTCTCTTTCTTTAGTTTTGAAAATTTAAAACAAAACTTTAAAGTTAGATTTTTAAAAATTTCCTGTGATTTCCTCTTTTATGCCATTTATGGGATATAAGCAAAATATCTCAATTAGATTTATACCATCTCTGTCTGTGAAGTTGCTACTGCTCACGGATAAGTCATCAGGAGTTGAGATGCCCTTGGTATTGGAATTCCCAATTTTCCGTTGTGTTAAGTGCTCAAGACTCATACCACCATTTTTTTGCGACTCTTTGGTTAAGTTCAGAAAGACCTAGAAAGAGAACCATATCATGTCATTAAAATAAAAGTGCAAATCTCTTCTAATTTCTAAGCTTAATTTTGATTTTGAATTTTTATCACATTTTGAGACAAGCCTCTTGACTTCAAGAGCATATTTTCTTATGTAAAAGATTAGGGTACTCTTATTGGGCTAACATCTTATTCTCAGAATCAGTCTTCCATAAGAACAGTACTGAGATAATTTTTAGGGTTTTCTGATTTGTGAAGTATTTACTTATTTAAAAATATTTCTTTCCTTTTAAAAAATGTTGCACATAATTAATATCCACTTTACCAAATGAAGAAATGACCACACATACCTCTTCGACAGTGGTGTCTGAAATGCCATAGCACCCTATGTTGAGGTCACCCATGCCCTGGTCCAGTGCTCTTAGAAGTGACAGATAGGCTCCCGAAACTTTGGTACTAAATGGAGGAAGCACATAAACAAGCTCTCCTCCAATGTCCTCCTTGAGGTAGGCTTCAGGAAGGTGGGATCTGATCATTGCTGTCACGGCCACTGTGTCACATGTTGTACTTGTATCTAGACTTGGAGTCTAGAGACAAAAACAGAAGTTGACCATTCTCCTCTATATACTATAGGGGCAAAGGGCCTCAATCAGAAAGTCAGGCCTTCTTGTCGGTTCATTCCAGGCCTGAGTCAGATCACACATCACTCCTCCAGTGCCTCCGTGTCTCAGTTGGGAACCCTATAGCTGTCTACAAGTCACCATTTACCAGCCACACTCTCCCACCCCACTTTGTCCCTTCTCCAACCTAATGGTCCACTCTTTTTCCTCTCCCTTGCACTATTCCAGTCTCTTTTTCTGTTGCTAAAGTGATTAAGGTTTAGGTATACATCATTCTCAGATTCTCTGTAATTGCTCTTCCTTTGCCCCAGATACAGCAACATGACCCTTTTCTCTCAAGCTCCAACTCAGAGTTCAACTGTCACTTTCTCTGGAGCCCCATCTCTTATGTTTAAAAAATTACATCACCCAGAATTTCCTCTTTCCCCTCTCCGGGTTTATTTCTCTCCATATCAATAGAAATAAAGACAATAAGTAATATACTAATTACTAACATATTTAATAAGTTACTCACTGACTATATGAATGTGAATCTCTCACACTCCATCAGAATATAAACTGTATGAGGCCAGAGATTTTAATTTAATCAGATCATGGATATAACCCCAATGTCTAGGATAGTACTTGGATACATGATAAGGCATAATATGCCCCTAACAAATGTATTTTTGAATGATTAATAAATGGAATAATGATTAACTTTTTATATAATAGAAGTCAAATCGGGATGATGTCAACATAAAATAAATGGTGGTAGTCATAACCTGCCTATTAGCATATGCATGTTGCACAGTGTTGTCAAACCATATGCCCTGGTAGGTGGTACAGAGATCTTTAATTAGCATTACTGTCCTTCAAAAGTTGTAAATGTTCTGTTGACCTAAGTTATAGTCTGTGCTTGAGTTCTTCACACTTTTCCAGAAAATGAATACATGACTTCATATTATCTTTATTTATTTTTGATAAGCTAGAAAATTTAAATCTAGCTTTACATGCTGAAATATTAGGGAAACTAACAGGGCAACCTTCCATCAGTAATATTAAGATGGAGATCACTGTTCACCGGCTAGAGATGGCCAACCTTTTAGAGCTTTCAAAGTTACAGCCTGCTGCAGCACACATACCATAGGTTTGCCACCACTGATACATTTTGGTTCTTCACATGCAATCCCCAGACAAGTAGCCTCTACATCATCTGTGAACTTGTTAGGAATTTAGTAAATTCCCCAACCCAGACTACTGAATCAGACATTCTTGGGGTTGGACTAGGAATCTGGGGGTTTTACCCAAGACCTTCAGTATTTTGATGTTCAAGTTTGAGCACTATCAAGCTGGTATATTAGTAAATTTAAGCAATGAATAAAGTTGGAGAGAGTCTGCTCTGTTCCTTATAAAAAATTAACTTCTAAGCCCACAATGAGGTATGTTTTTTTTCTGCTACTGACCTTCTTCTTAGTGAGTGTGAGGTGATACCCATCTCCAAATGCTTCCTTGAGGTAAAATGGCGACCCACAGCATCGGAGCCCACCCTGCTCCAGGAAGGCAATACGGTCACTCAGCACTTCAGCCTCGTCCAAGTGGTGAGTGGACAGAATGATTGTTCTGGCTTGAAAAGACAGTCGAGAAAACAGAGAATAAAAAATAAAGACAGACTTCCAAAGATAACACAGAGTTTGCAAAAGTATAGCCTGTGATATATGAGAAGAGTCATGTTTATGAGCTAACTAAAAACTCGAGCAGGAGGAAATTTCAAAATGATCAGAAGAGGTGTTCTTAAATATTTGGTGGTGTTTTCACACAAATTGGCAGCAAATAAGCGTTTATTATGCTGTGTAGCTAATGTCCATCATGTGTTCTGTGGGCATGGGCCACACTTCCTAATCTCTCAGGGTTTTGCTAAATTTCCTTCATTTCACATCATCTTCCTCTTTTTTCCTAAACTTCACCATGAAAAAGTGATAATTTTAAAGGCTTTTTGAATATTCCTCTCTGATTAATCCACTCCAGTCTGATTACTCCTTTGCTTCACATCCTGTTAGCACTTATTTAGTCTGTTTACAGTTTATTTTCATTTGTGTATGTTTGGTGTCTCTAATTAGATTCCAAGCTCCTCCAGGCAGACTTTGGAACTTCTGCTGGGTTTACATGCTCTCAAAAAGGCCAGTTAAGAGCCCAACTCACAGTGGGCACTAGATAGATATTAACTAATTGACCCAGAAATTTAGCTGAGAGAAGAGAAATATTGGGAAAAGAGTCCATCTTAGACATGTAAAGGATATTAAAACCAGAAAAAGGCTTCTTCTTGCTTTTGTGTATCACAGAGGGCAAAGTGATGACTGTTGAATGGAGAAGCTGTGAGAATGCACTCATACCAGTTTTGTTCTTGGATATTACATCCCATATACTTCGGCGTGAACATGGGTCAACTCCAGTGGATGGTTCATCCAAAATCACAACCCTTGATCCACCAATAAGAGCAATGGAGATAGATAATTTCCTCTTCATTCCTCCTGACAGTGTTCCAACTCTCTTATGCCGATGGGTATACAGTCCAGTTTCTTTTAAAGTCCTTCAAAAACAGTGCAAGGTAGTTATTTTTTCTAGAGTCTATTTGAGTACTAGAAAAGCACAATAAATATACTAAAGGACAGATACATTTGCTAAACAACTATCATGTACTCATTCAGGTACAATAAACTTGAGAATTCAAAATAGTTTTCTACTGTTTATTATCCACTCGGAGGTACTAAAATTGATACTTTAAAAGAAAAACACAAAGGGAATATGTAGGCCATTCATTTGGTAAGTACTTAGAGTATCTACTCATTTTGTACCAAATTTTTTTTTTTTTTGGTTACTGGGGATCGAACTCAGAACCTTGTGCTTGCAAGGTAAGTGGCAGCACCACTGAGCTAAATCCCCGGTCCACCAGATCACTTTTTAGGTGCTAGAGGAAAGCAGTGGGCAGATAAAAATTCCTACCCATAAGATTATTTTCCAGTATGTGTGAGTGTCAAGAAGGATGTGGAGGAAAATCCAGTTGATAAATATAAGCAAGTTTATAATATGATAAGTGCAATACAAGATTTTTTAAAAAGCAGATTATGTGCGGTAAAGCATGCCAGGGTCATGTTATTTTAGGCATCTATTTTATGTAAGGGAATCACTATGAGAAGGTAAGATTGGCACAGAGACCAGAAAAGTGGTTATTTGACCAAGACTAATTCCAATGGCTGACTGGAGAAGGGAGCTGCAGGTTGAAGGAAGAGTAAATAGAAAGCCCTGAGGATGGAGCAGGCTGAGCATAGTCAAATGTACAACTAGGCCAGTGCACCCAGAGTAGAGTGAACAGTAAGAAAGTGGACAGAAAAGGCATTAGAGGTAAAGCTGGGGCCAGTTCATGCAGGGCCTCATAGGCCTTGATCATGACAGTACCGAGTATTACTGTATATTGAATGTGGAAGGAAGCCACTTAAGGGCCACACAGGAGTGATGTGGTCTTAATTTTGGTTGAAAAGCCCATCCTGGCTGCTCTGCTAAGGACAGATTATATGAGTGGGGAGTAGAAGTCAGGAGTCCAGTTAGGACAGGAGTCCAGTTAGGAGGTTTGGACCAGTGAAGTCATTGTGCAGATTAGAAGAAGTGCTTGTCAACAGCAAAGCCAGAGAAAAACAGTGAAACAATTTCATAATAATTATCTGAGGATAATGGCATTAAATGTATATAATGCCAGAGAAGGAGAAAAACTAAAAAGCAATTGTTTTACGGAAAACATTTTCTATTGGTTACCAGAGCTGGACCAACCAAACTGTCTTTGAGAGAGATTAGCAGCTCATGTTCTTGTTCTTGTCATAACTCACTTTTTTACTTCTTCATGGAGCTGTTTCTTAGTCCAATGAGGAACTTTGATGGAGCCATATAGAAGAAGATGTTCCTTAGTAGTAAGATAACTGAACAAGACATCGTGCTGCATGCACACTCCCATGTTCTTCCGAACAGTGTTGAGGTCTGTTTTAATATCTTTCCCATACACAAAGATGGTACCAGCTGAGGCACCAAACAGCCCAGTTAACATAGAGCTGTAAATAAAGAAACAATAAGTTAGACCAAGGACTGAAGCTAGATATTAATAGTAAATTTGTCCTGCTTCTCAGAGAAAAATGTTACAGTGTATCTCTTCAGGCAGGGTCAAACTATGAGATAAAAAGGTATTACATGGAAATAAAAAATAAAAATTATTTTTAAGTTTTTAAAAATTTACAGTGTTGCATAAAGACTACATGATGATGGTGGTAGTAGTCATAATAATGATAAAATGGTTGTGCTTTTTATTGCAAGTACATTCTCTCTTAGCACAAACTTGTATACTTCTCTGGCATTCCACAGTATAGGCTCACAAGTCTCAAATTTATATCTCTAGTCCAGAGTCATCACTTGGTTCTAGGCATGTTTATTTATTCCACAGACCATGACACTTCTCCATGAGATGCCTTACAGGTCCTCCAACTCAACATGATCTTTGCCCTCAAACACATATCTTCCTTGTCTTGACCCTTTTCCTTGTGTGACAAGTTCATATACTGGTTGTACAGGCCTAGAATCCAGAATTCTGCCTTTTATACCCTCCTGCTATACTGGTTGTACTAACTCCACTCACCTGTCTCCATTTTCACAGCCACCAATACCATGAGCCCACTCCATGGCCATAAGCTCCTAACTCTTCTTTTCATATACTCTTTGGGCATCTCCAGGTCTGTTCTCTATCCTGTGTCTGCATCTTCCCACCTAGATAATTCCTGGTCATCTTTCACATGATTAGTAAATGGACAATTACTTAATGCCCTTCTCCTCCCTCCACTACAAGTAAACTCCATGAGGTCAGAAAAAGGACTTATTTTCTCACCACTCTGTCATAGTATCTGACAAGGATCTGGCAATGAATACTGTTGGATTAAATAGGGAATCAATATAATATACAATTTTTCCATAAAATGAATTGAAATATGAATAGCACATTTCATTCTTTAAAATTTGTATACAGAACTATAAAATGAGGGTATTCTCAGTTAAAATTGCAGTCTCTTTAAATGTCTCCTCTTCCTTTTCTTTCCTATTCTCTTATTTCCTATTGGGACTCTTGCCTTGTAACCATTGTATTCTCATCAGAAAGTCAATTATGGCTTTAAAGAGGTCATGCAAATAAGAAAGGTTATATGTTCATTTTTTCATGACCTACCTCTGTCCTCTTTTATTTACAAAAACATTAATGTCAGGGTTTTTACAGTCACTGAACTTATTCATGATGATTCAAAATAAGATGTGCAACAACTGACTCATTTTTGTAATCAAAGGCCACAGCATCAGTAGCAACTTAGCCCGAACTAAGCAGCTAAGCAAATGTGGAGACAAATCACACACAAAAAAATCAGAAAATGTCACTTTTGCAACATTTGAATCACTCCTCCATTCTGACACAGGAAAATACTACTTAAGTGAAAAGTGAGAAAGAACAGCTCATGCACTGCCCCTGCCTTTTTAATCTATATCTGGTGATTCTTTTGTTTCCTTGTGAATCAAGACAAGGGTTTCCTACGATGGAGCAGATGGGGTTGTGTGTGATCATACTAGGATGTGCAAATGCAAACTTATTTATGGACCAGGATAGAATCTTAAACAAATGAAATAGATGTGGTGCATGTGGCATGTGGCAGTATAAATTGATAGAGACCAAAGATGAAGCCTAATGAGTCTTAACCAATAGTCTCTGTGAACTAAATGTTTTAGAACTTGCTATTCTCTTAAGACATGCCAAGAATGTTTACTTTTAATAAGAAACTGCTCATTTAAAAATCTTTGCACTAAATTAAAAATTTCAAGACATTTTGGGTGGGCCAGCTCTAGGTGGACAAAATAAACCTGCCATCTTATGCCCCATTGGCCTTTGAACTGACAATTTAGGACTTCTGGTTTAGATCCATTCCACTAGCATACATGCTGAGCCATGTTACGCCATCTGTAAAATGTAATAACTTTATTTTTGAAATATGCTTCTGTGATATTAAGCATTGAAAAGTAACATACATGGTAGTAGTTTTTCCAGCTCCATTTGGTCCCAGCAATGAAGTAATATGGCCTTCATAAAAGTTCAGATTGAGGTTATCAACAGCAACTTTTGTACCATAGATCTTTGTTACTCCATGCAGGGCAACACCAGCTGGGAGATCTTTGGGTTCTGGCTCAATGTTGGAGGGAAACATGTGTTCAGGGCCTGGGGAGAAATCAAGGGAAGAGTTATAAGCTCATCAGTAAGAAAATACAGCTAGAGTTAGACTTTTCTTTAATTAAAAATGGAAGACTATATAAATACAATCTTCTAAGTAAGAAAAAATACTCAGAAACAAATGATTTATTACACACTCCAGCCTCCTTAACAGAATAATTGGAGTTAGTAAACCAAACTCTCTAATGTTTGTATCAGCCTTCTCTGTTGGAAAAAGCAGTTCTAGAATAAAGTATCATAAGTTCTTCTTTAATCAATAGATCTTAAATATTAGTAAGTCTAGGACTTGTCCCCTGATTGTGCAGATGATACTAATTTGTGGAATAAATGGCCACGAGTTGTGATTTACAGTGAGAAGACTAGCTCAGATCTGAGGTTTACAGAATCTAGTTCATTAACTGCAGTCTGATCCCCTCAGGCATCTTCAAAGGACTGCTTGTATGGGTTATACTTGCTTTACAAAGATGATACCATTCACCAATGTCAACAAGACTTGAGCCCTGAGTTATTTTTCTAGTATTACTAACAATTTATGCTACATTATCTGTATTTGTTACTTGGTTACTCCTTATGACCAGTGGCAGATGGCTCGAGTGAAGAGTACAAACTGTGGCCAAGGAATAAAATTTTTCTCTGTGTGAGTCTAACTGGACCACAAAGGAAAACTATAATCTTGGCCTAATTAGTACCATATGCTGACCAACTGAGCTAATGAGCCCAGAAAAAGCCACAATTCAATCCCTATAAGAGTCCAAACACATGTGTAGACATATTCATCCATGACTAAAAGGATAATTTTGCCATCTAGAGAAGCATAACTAAAAGTAGTAACCATGTGATTTTTACATCATTTCCCTTACAATAATGAATGGTGTTGACCTACTTGTCTTACTGCCAGATAGGCTGGTGTTCTGCATCATGATATTGGTAAACATAAGGCCGTTGCTTTTCTCACGCTTCACCTCTGCACATCCGAACCGCTCCTTCCAATAGGAAGGAAGAACTGGAAAATACCAGGGAGCAGCCATACCATATGTTCCTGTAATGGGATATGTTAGGAAAGGGGATTAGTAATGATTTTTAACATTAAGCATCAGAAATGAAACTATGCATGGCTCAGGAGTAGTTTTTTTTATTTTCTTTTTTTTGAAATTTTGATACTGTATAAAACTAAAGGGTGGTTTCAGTTTTCAAAGTAGAGTAAAAAAAGATAACTTTTGTTTTAAAATTAGCATCACTGATATATAATTAAATGTCATAAAATGTATTCATTTTAAGTGTAAGATGATTTTTAGTAAATTTATAAACTACCACAAACTGGTATTAGAATATCTCTATAACTGCAAAAAGTTATCTCATGGTCTTTGTAGAGAATCCCTGTTCCTACCTCAAGTCCCAGGCAATCACTGATCTGGTTTCTGTCTCTCTATACAAGGAGTGGTTAGGAAGTGGACTGAGAAATAATGGGAGAGGTGAGGGAAAAGGGGAAGGGGACGTAAAAAGATGTGGAATGTGCATATACCACTGTAAACACGTACCAAGAAAAATTTAAAGACCTTTAAAATTATTACGGTGAAGACACATTGCTATCCATCCCCTCAAAATACTCCCTTTGCTCAACTGTTTATCCCATCATTTGTGACACTTTTCTGAAACAGTTCCAGAAGTCCTCTTTCATGTCTTTAGGAGTTGAAAATATGGTGAATGTATCTGCCTACTGCTATCTAAGAGAAAGGCAGGCTCATAAAAACATTACCTTATCTACCTCATCCACCTTTTCACTGGATCTGCCACTGTGCAACTTCTGGCTCTTAATCAGTCAAAGTGACAATGAAAAGTAAACATTTTGAATCAATTCAGGACACTGAGGTAGCCACGATGGTGCAACTGAAGAAGGATTTTTCAGAACTGCTTCAGAAAATTGCAAGAAGAATGGTATAAGTGTGCTCAAAGTGAGGGACAGTATTTTGAGGGAGACTATTATTATTATTATTACTATTATTAATTTTAATGTTTGGTACCAGGGATCAAACTCAGGATCTCGCATTTGCCAGGCAGGCGCTGTGGTGCTGAGTTACAACCCTGGCCTGAGGGAGATTACTATTTAAACACACACTATATTTTTGGTCACACCTTGTACTCATCTCTATGCAAATGAAATCATATACAGCATCAAACTGTACAAATATAAATAACCTTAATGGAAAAACACATACGCACATTAGAAAGGATGGTTGTTTGAACGCCAGGAGGGGAGCCCAACTTGTCTTCTATTAGAATCTGGTCATTTCTCCTTAGATTTAGAAAAGTTAGTTTTTGCCTTTTAATATTTCACACTCCTAGTGATTTGCCACTATCCCATGCTTCTTTATTTAGAAGAATATCAAGGAATTCTCTGAATATGTTTGTTTAGTTTTGGGGCTTTGGGAAGTTCTTCTTTGGATATTTCACATGGCAAATTGACAATTAGAATGTGTTATAGCTGACTTATGGTGATGACAATCATGTATCTGTTAGAATTGCGCTCATACCTGGGAAAACGTTCCTGATGTACCAAGCAATAAAGAAGTAGATGAAAGAGTCAGCTAGGATCAGACAGCATAGCCAGCCAAATGATGTGGTGTCATCCTGGACTGGGGAGCTGTACATATTTTCCCAATGAAGACCTAAAAAATTGAAGACAGATGTTTATTTTTCTGTGACACATGTCACAGTTGTGAAAGATAAAATGCAGTTTTGAAAAAGTGAACCTACCAATGCCTTGTTCCTCATATCGTGCAATATATTGGCTCGCATAGCTGAATGCTGTTGGGGACAGCAGGCTCTGGGAAGAAAATGAACAGCCATGAGTCTTCTAGTAGATTTCATACATTTCACCCACAGTGAATTTAAGTGGTGATTATTTTGGACATTTGTATAGGCTAAACTGATGTTCACTCTCTAAGATTTAAAAATACAAATGTCCCTTTATCAAGCATGCTACAACTCTTAAAAAAAAAACAGAGATAAAAGAGCAGAAAACACAAGTAGGAAAATCACAACTTGGTAAATACTTTGTTAAAAATCAAAAACATATATTTAAACTTATTAAATGCTGCTCAGCAATTTATAAAATAGGTAATTACAGAATAACACAGTTTTAAGACTATAATGAAAACATTAGGGAGCAGAAGATGATTTTTTTACATCAAAAATTTATTTCAGGTAACAGAAGCATTGTGAATAAAAATATACTAAAATATCAGTTGATTAAATATTGTTAATTTCTATATATTACAAATTTAAATTTTGTTTAAACCCAAAGAAGTCACTGCTGGATGAATGTTACTCATCACTATTTTTCATAAAAAGCAAAGTCTTAATATGGTAAGATTTGTTTCTGCTTTCTACATTTCAGAATCAGTAATTATAATTCTTAAATTAATTCAGTGCTTTTGAATGAAAAAGCAGAAAGGAATTCTGAGTTGATTATACACTGTCAATGCATTTGTCTTTATGCTTGTATGCTATATTTTGTGCTATGAAAACCATGATAGCTCTTCATATATGAGAATAGTTTCAATACTACAGGCTCCAAGATGTTTAAGGAATTGAACCAGAGAGAAGTCAGAATTCTAGACCACCTCTAAAACATGTTATATTCCACTATGATGGCTAAGATGGACTGTCAATTGGATTGTCTTAAGAGTCACTCAGGATTAGTACAGAAAATTTCTCTGTGTGTGTTTGAGTGTGTGTGTATGTGAGAGAGAGAGAGAGGAGAGGGATGGAGAGGGAGAAGGAGAGGGAGAGGGAGGGAGAGGAGTGGGAGGAAGAGGAGATTGAAGAGGAAAGAAGGGAAGGGAAGGGAAGGGAGGTGGGGAGAGGAGAGAAGAGAAGAGAGGAGGTGTGACTTTGAGTACGTTACCTCTTCCTCTTTGGTACTTGTCCCTGCTCTACTTCCCACAGCCATAAAGTGAACAGTTTTGCTCCATCATGCCTTTCTGCCTTGATAGTCCTGCCTTAGAGCTAGCCTACCAGATTTAATACCCTGAAACTTGAGTCAAAACAAACCTTTCCCCTAAGTTCTGTATGTCCAGTATGTGTTCCCAGCAATAAAAAGCTAATAAATCCATTTTAATTAATATTTCTTAAGGAAATATTCTCTCTCTCTCTCTTTCTTTCTTTCTTTCTTTCTTTCTTTCTTTCTTTCTTTCTTTCTTTCTTTCTTTCTTTCTTTCTTTCTTTTTTGGTACT